AATAACTGCTTTCTATTTGAATATATTTTAAAATGTAATTTATTCCTGTGATCAAAGCTAAATTTTCTGCATCATTACTCCAGTCTTCAGTTTCACACGGTCCTTCAGAAATCATTCTAATATGCTGATTTGCTGTTTTATTATTATTATTATTATCAAGTTGAGTGCCTGAGTATTTTAGGATACTTTGATGAATAGAAAGATCTAAAGATCAGCATTTATCTGAAATAAAAAGCTTTTGTAACATTATACACTATAACATTCAAAAGCTTGGAGTCAGTATATTTTTTTTATTATTATATATAATTATATATTTTAGGGAAAAATGATAGAAATTAATACTTTTTTTGCAAGGATGCTTTAAATTGATCAAAATTGATGATAAAGACACTTATAATGTTACAAAAATTTATATTTCAGATAAATGCTGTTTTTCTAATCTTTCTATTCATCAAAGAAACCTGACAAATTCTACTCAGCTGTGTTCAACATAATGATAATAATAATAGTAATATATTTAGTTTGAACAGCAAATCAGAATATTAGAATGATTTCTGAAGGACCATGTGACTGGAGTAATGGTGCTAAAAATTCAGTTTTGAAATCGCAGGAATAAATTACATATTGAAATATATTCAAATAGAAAACAGTTATTTTAAATAGTAAAAATATTTCAATTTTTTTTTTGCTGTACTTTGGATCAAATAAATGCTAGGCTTGGTGAGCAGAAGAGACTTCTTTAGAAAACATTAAAAATCATACTGTTAGACTGGGAGGGTATGCGCAAGACAATGCAAACTTGACTTGTATTATTCCCTATCCTTAATGTTTTGCAGGAAAGTATAACAACTGGGATAAAGTTGATCCAGCTGAGTTGTTCAGTAAAGCTCTGACTGAGAAGAAAGAAGCAAACCCCAAACTAAATATGGTCAAATTCCTTCAGGTGACTTTCATTACCTGACTGATTATGTTGTATCTATTGTTTAAAATAATTAAACATTTAGACAAACAATATTTAAAGACAACATGTAAGCCTGTCAAAGAATTTATAATTTCTATTCTATAATGTAATTATACTATAGTAAATTTAATAACAATATTTTAACAATTAAGTCTTAACATATTTAAAAACCCTTCCATAAATCTTTAAATAACAAAGTTGCTGTTTATTGACAGGTTGAAGCAAAAGGTTGTGACTATGTTGTCCTGTGGTTGGATTGTGATAAAGAAGGAGAGAACATTTGTTTTGAGGTGAGTCTGAATCTACTGAAAGAAAATACAACCTAAGATTGTTCATATATCTGGGCCTGAGGTGTTCAGTCCAGTTTTTTGAGTGTGTGTTTTCTTGATTTGTTTGTGTTGTACCATCTCAGGTGTTGGATGCCATTCAGCCGCTGATGAATAAGTCTTACGGTAATGATTGTACCGTGTATCGAGCAAAGTTCAGCTCCATCACAGACACGGATATCTGTAACGCCATGAACCGACTCGGAGAACCCAACAGGAACGAGGCTCTGTCTGTAGATGCTCGTCAGGAACTGGACCTCAGGATTGGCTGTGCTTTCACACGGTATGAAAGAGGTCATCTGGGTATAACAGACCTGCTTTGAGTTCTTTATTTATTTATTTTTTATACCATTATAATACAATCTTTTTTTGTGCAATATACATTACTGTTGAAAAATGTGGGTTTTGTTTAAGATTTCTTAAATATTTTTGACAAAAGTTTCTTATGCTTATCAAGGTTGCATTTATTTGATTAAAAATATAATAAAAACAGTAATATTGTAAAATATTATTATAACTTAAAATAACTTTTCTATTTTAATATATTGTAAAATGTAATTGTTTTCCAGTGATTGCAAAGCTACATTTTCAGCAGTCTTCAGTGTCACATGATCTTTCAGAAATCATTTTAATATGATCATTTGGTGCTCAAGATACATTTCTTCTTAACATCAAAACAGTTATGCTGCTTAATATTTTTGTGGAAACTGTGATACATTTTTTCAGGCTGCTTTGTTGAATACAAAGATCAAAAGAACAGCATTCATTTGAAATATAAATATTTTGTAGCTTTATAAATGTATTCACTGTCACTTTTTATTAAAATAATGCATCTTTACTGAATAAAAGTTTTAATTTCTTTCAGAAAAATTTATTTTTTTACTGACTACAACGTTTTGAACAGTAGTGCATTTGTCAAACATTTGTTATTATAGATAATAGTAAGTTGTTCATAAGTATAACAACTGGGATAAAGTTGATCCAGCTGAGTTGTTCAGTAAAGCTCTGACTGAGAAGAAAGAAGCAAACCCCAAACTAAATATGGTCAAATTCCTTCAGGTGACTTTCATTACCTGACTGATTATGTTGTATCTATTGTTTAAAATAATTAAACATTTAGACAAACAATATTTAAAGACAACATGTAAGCCTGTCAAAGAATTTATAATTTCTATTCTATAATGTAATTATACTATAGTAAATTTAATAACAATATTTTAACAATTAAGTCTTAACATATTTAAAAACCCTTCCATAAATCTTTAAATAACAAAGTTGCTGTTTATTGACAGGTTGAAGCAAAAGGTTGTGACTATGTTGTCCTGTGGTTGGATTGTGATAAAGAAGGAGAGAACATTTGTTTTGAGGTGAGTCTGAATCTACTGAAAGAAAATACAACCTAAGATTGTTCATATATCTGGGCCTGAGGTGTTCAGTCCAGTTTTTTGAGTGTGTGTTTTCTTGATTTGTTTGTGTTGTACCATCTCAGGTGTTGGATGCCATTCAGCCGCTGATGAATAAGTCTTACGGTAATGATTGTACCGTGTATCGAGCAAAGTTCAGCTCCATCACAGACACGGATATCTGTAACGCCATGAACCGACTCGGAGAACCCAACAGGAACGAGGCTCTGTCTGTAGATGCTCGTCAGGAACTGGACCTCAGGATTGGCTGTGCTTTCACACGGTATGAAAGAGGTCATCTGGGTATAACAGACCTGCTTTGAGTTCTTTATTTATTTATTTTTTATACCATTATAATACAATCTTTTTTTGTGCAATATACATTACTGTTGAAAAATGTGGGTTTTGTTTAAGATTTCTTAAATATTTTTGACAAAAGTTTCTTATGCTTATCAAGGTTGCATTTATTTGATTAAAAATATAATAAAAACAGTAATATTGTAAAATATTATTATAACTTAAAATAACTTTTCTATTTTAATATATTGTAAAATGTAATTGTTTTCCAGTGATTGCAAAGCTACATTTTCAGCAGTCTTCAGTGTCACATGATCTTTCAGAAATCATTTTAATATGATCATTTGGTGCTCAAGATACATTTCTTCTTAACATCAAAACAGTTATGCTGCTTAATATTTTTGTGGAAACTGTGATACATTTTTTCAGGCTGCTTTGTTGAATACAAAGATCAAAAGAACAGCATTCATTTGAAATATAAATATTTTGTAGCTTTATAAATGTATTCACTGTCACTTTTTATTAAAATAATGCATCTTTACTGAATAAAAGTTTTAATTTCTTTCAGAAAAATTTATTTTTTTACTGACTACAACGTTTTGAACAGTAGTGCATTTGTCAAACATTTGTTATTATAGATAATAGTAAGTTGTTCATCACACATAATCATTATTATTTAGTTTCCAGACTAAATACTTCCAGGGGAAATATGGGAATTTGGACTCCTCCTTGATCTCGTTTGGTCCCTGTCAGACTCCCACACTGGGATTCTGTGTGGAACGGCATGACAAGATCCAGTCCTTCAAACCTGAAGCATACTGGGTTATACAGGCAAAGGTCAGTTCTGGCCTTTTCTGCTCAAAATACAAAACCCAGTTTTCAAAATCCAATTCTTTTACAGAACAGCTATATCATTTCGCATTGCATACTTGCTTCACTTCTGCATTTTCCTTTTTTTTTGTGCACACAGGTTTTTAAAGGCAAGGACAGTCCACTCACCTTGGACTGGGACCGCGTGCGAGTTTTTGACCGAGATGTTGGTCAAATGTTTGTTAACATGGCAAAGACTGCTAAGGAGGCTAAAGTATGTATTTGTATCTTATTATGATTGTGTAATTTCATATTTTAGTGATGTGTAACTGCATGAGTTGCAATGTGTCTTTTCTTGCAGGTTGACTCAGTGTCTAAGAAAGAGAAAGCCAAGCAGAGACCCATCGCATTGAATACAGTGGAGATGTTAAGAGTGGCCAGCTCTGCTTTGGGTGGGCAGCTTTCCTTGTGAATTCACAAATCAAAAGCATAAAAATAGGGTTTTAATGAGGAAAGAAAGAAAGAGGGGAGACAATAAAACCAATTACTTGTGAAATGTAATGACCAGTCATGCCATTGAACTTAGATTAAGCGGTTTAGAACTTAATTTACTCTAATAACATCACTTCTTTCCTGTAATTTTGTAGTATTAAAGTATTATGTACATAAAAATAATCAGACTGAAAATAGTTAACTCACAAGTTTGGGGTTAGTAAGATTTTTTAAATGTTTTTAAAAGAAGTCTCTTCTGCTTACTAAGGCTGCATTTATTTAATTAAAAATATGGTAAAACTGTAATAATGTGAAATATTATTGCAACTTAAAATAACTGTTTTCTGTTGTAATATATTGCAAAATTTAATTTATTTCTGTGATGCAAAGCTGAATTTTCAGCATCATTACTCCAGTCTTCAGTGTCATATGATCCTTCAGAAATCATTCTAATATGCTGACAGAGGAAAAAAAATCTTACTGACCTCAAACTTTTAAACTGCAGCGTATATGTGATTTTATCTGTGTATTTCTCAGGAATGGCTCCCCAGCATACTATGCAGATAGCAGAGCGTCTCTACACACAGGGTTATATCAGCTACCCTCGCACGGAGACCACACATTACCCTGAAAACTTTGACCTGAAGGGCACCCTCAAACAGCAGGCCAACAGCTCCTTCTGGGGTGAAACGGTAAGCAATAGCCCTTTCCTCCCCCCGAAGTGATCACTTAAGATGCTCATTAATGAATTAATATGCTCTTTAATGATTAATATTTTATAGTGCTGTCAAACGATTAATCGCGATTAATTTAACTTTGATAAAGAATATCTCTTTGGTTTTGAGACTTTAGTCTTTGCAACTTCAGGGATCTTATCTATGCACAATCAGCTTGTAACACTCCAAAGAGAAAGGAAAACTTGAAATCGCATCATATGACCCCTTTAAAATAATCCATGTGACATCAGTGGTTCAACCGTAATTTTACGAAGCTACGAGAATACTTTTTTGTGCGTAAAGAAAACAAAATTAACGACTTTATTCAACAATTCGTCTCCTCCACGTCACCCTATAGCGCCAATTTGGAGAGTAACATACGAAAACAACGTAAGCAATGTATGTACGCGGATACGCTGTTTACGTTTATGCTTTGATCTGAACGTAAACAGCGTATCCGCGTACATACGTTGTTTTTGTATGTGGTACTCTCCAAAATGGCGCAATAGGGTGACGTGGAGGAGACGAATTGTTGAATAAAGTCGTTATTTTTGTTTTCTTTGCGCACAAAAAAGTATTCTCGTAGCTTCGTAATATTACAGTTGAACCACTGATGTCACATGGATTATTTTAACGATCTCCTTGCTACGTTTCTGGACCTTAATCGTGGTAATTACACTGCTGTCTGTGGGAGGGTCAGAGAGCTATCGGAATGCATCAAAAATATCTTAATTTGTGTTCCGAAGATGAACTGAGGTCTTACGGGTTTGGAAGGACATGAGGGTGAGTAATTAATGACAGAATTTTAGTTTTTTGGATGAACCATCCTTTTAATTAAATAGTGAAGCATGTAGCATATAATACACTTCCATTCAAAAGTTTGGGGCTTCAGTAAGGTGAATAAAATAAATACTTTTATTCAGCAAGGATGCATTAAATTGATCAAAAGTGATATTTGTAATGCTACAGAAGATTTCTCTTTCACATAAATGCTATTGTTTTGAAATTTCTATTCATTATTAAGCAAAAATAAACATTGAGCAGCACAACTGTTTTCAACATTGGTAATAATTAGAAATGTTTCTTGAGCAGCAAATCAGCATATTACAATGATTTCGTAAGGATGACACTGAAGACTGGAGTAATGATTCAGCTTTGCATCACAGGAATAAATTACATTTTAAAATATATTCAAATATAAAACTTTTTTTAAAAATCGTAATAATAATATTACCGTTCTTACTATATATATGCAGCCTTGGTGAGTACAAAAGACATCAAAACAAATTTTGAACGGTACAGTCAACGAAATTGAGTTCAGAGGCCATATTGCAGGAACATCCTAACTCTAGAATCTAATCTTAACTGATCTGAAGTCAGATCTAAGACAACAGAGCTATAAAATGGCAAATATCTTTTTGTCTCTGCAGGCAGCGATGGTTGGCGTCTGTATGATTACATCACACGGCACTTCATCGCAACGGTCAGCCCCGACTGCAAATACCTGCAGACCACAATTTCCTTCAGCATCGGCACAGAGAGCTTCACATGCAGCGGGAAGACGCTCATCTCTGCTGGTACGTGAATTCTTCAGATGAGCTTTATTAATGTTTTTTTTTTTTTTTTTTACTTTAGCCATTTTTAAATTATATTCTAGTGGAGAGATGATGCTTATTAATATTTCTTGCAAACAGGCTACACTGAGGTGATGCCCTGGCAGGGTATTGCACAGGAAGAGGCCTTGCCGGTGTGTGAGAGAGGAGACACATTTACAGTGGATGAGATCAAACTACTGGAGAAACAGACCAATCCACCAGACTACCTGACTGAGGCCGAGCTCATCACACTCATGGAGAAACACGGCATCGGTACGATCGGTTTTATTGGTGCTGACAACCTTCACAGCAGTTCACAGAAAAGAGTAAATTTAAACAGGTCATTTTATACAATTTATCCCTGATGTGCACTTCCAATGTTAGTGTTTGGTCACAGTGTTTGTTCACCATTGTTGTAACTTTTTGGATGCAGTGTGTCTAAAATACTGCAAAATTAATTACAAGTCTCAAACGCATGCAGATTTCACAGCACAATGATTTATGAAAAGTGTTTCATATGTCATTATTCATTATATGCTATTATATATAAGGGATATTTTAAAGGGTTAGTTCACCCAAAAATGAAAATTCTGTCATTAATTACTCACCCTCATGTC